ACTGGACCAGTTATAACATGCCGAACACTCAAACAGCGTCATGCCATCACTCTTTAAAGTTAATGGCTTGTCATGATACATATGTCGTTTCTTCCTAGGAAGATTAGCGCATGTTTTGTGGAGAATGAAATCGCATTGCACACAACTGTAGAATGCTTGATAATTTATAGGTAAGACACATGCTTCACAACGGATGTTTTCACCACATGTGACTTTTCCTTCGTTGAGTTGTAAATAATGTTCCTCGTGACTAAAATGTTGTATTAGGTTCACATCTATCACCTTAAATGGTTTGATTTCTTGACGTTCCTCTGGTATACCTTTTAGCTCTAACTTGTCCCAGACATCATTTCGTATAGCACATTTAGAATGGATAGCATAATTAGGACAAATAGAGCAAGAAAATGCCCCATATGACCAATCAACTTTCTCGTGACAAAATCCACATATCCAACTCCCGGGACTTAGCTGAAGACGCCTAGAAAGTCGATGCTCATGACGATTAACGTTGATGATCTCTGGTAAGTCAACACAACTTTGATGGATCATGAAATAGCATTGTTGGCATGAATAAGGACTTCGATCACCAGGCAACCCACAAGCATCACACTTAAAAGAGATGATCCTTGGCATAAGACTGATTTGATGGTCATGAGCTTTAGGAAATAACCTGATTGTAAGCGGTGGTGGATTCTTTACACAAGAACCATCCACACTGAATTTACAGATTGAACAATAATAAAATCTTTTCCATGACTGGTTTCCGCATATAACACATTCCCCATCAGAGAAGTTATGTTCTCCAGGTGTAAGGAACTTAAGAGGGTGTTTAGGGTGAAAAGGATGAGTTATCTCTAGAGGAAAGTTAGAACATTCAAAGTGGAATGTCATTTGACACTGGGAACATTTGTACAGATATCTATAATTTGATTTTTCACAAAAGTCACATCTATGATATGTGTTTGGCAGGCGGACAAGAGAGTGTTTGTGGGCTTTAGGATGTTCAATTACATCTGGTGGTGGAGTTTTTATACATGCTGTATCAACAACGAATTCACATATAGGACAGTGATAAAATATATGAAACAATATGTCCCCACACAACTTACAGTTTTTACGATTAGAATACCACTCACTGATGATGGAGAGGTGAAGAGAGTGTTCAGGATGAGAGTGGTGGTTGATCTCTAAAGATGACTCTGCACATTCTTTATGAAAATAGATTCTACATTCGTAGC